GTGTGACTCTGTACCAGGTACAGCCTGAGGAATAAGAAGCTGTGCTCCATTTGTGTACAATGTGTCAAAATGCATTTTGCTGTTATGTATAACTAATCAGAACAAATTAAAAAAATAGAATTTAAAAACAGTGAACTAAAAAATAAAGGTTTTCCTTATAAGATTTTCACAAGCATATAACTGTTATAACAAGTTTTAATCCTAGCGAGACTCTAAATAATGACAGGTCTACAAGTCATTACCTTATCTCAGGACTGGGGACCATAATATTACTCCATTTATTTTTCCTTGTGTTTTGATAGACTCCTTCATCATATTATTAAAGGGAACTGGTCTTCTTTTATTGATTTTTCAGGTTTGGTTTTTTTTTTTTTCCATTGTTATTGTTGCTATTGGACCAAAAAACACAAAAGCCTTCAAGGGCCAGATAGGCAATAAGGCTTGGGTCTTAAGGGTACCCAAGAGGCAAAGTCTTACCTTGCTTTGATAAAAATGGGTTGTTGACAATGATTATATATAAAAGATTTGGTGATCAAGAAGAGAGAAGAAGAAATTAATGCAAGCAGTGACTCCTGCAATTTGGCCTTAGGAAAGGGCAAAGCCAGAGATGAACAGCCTGTGGTTCTGCAGTATTAGGAGAGGGCTAGTGTTCCAGTGCTGGGTGACAGCTGAGAGTGGAAAGAAGTGTCTGACACATCCAGCTGAGCTCTAGCTTAAAGCTGACCATCAAAGCCAAGGTCCATAGGCCCTGGGTGCTGAAGGAGTAGGAAGAATAGTAGGTGCTGAAGGAGAGTAGGAATTGTACCCTATGTCATGCATCCTATTAGCAGAAATTAAGATCACTCAAAGTGAAGCCCATCACAAGCAACCAAATTACTCTGCACCCCAGTGCCTGGAGGCAGCCTAACCCCAAACCAGGCATTCCTAAGCAGTATATGGAGTGAATCCATCTGACTGTTATAAACACCTTCTTTATGAAAGAGGCAGACGTGGAGAGGAAGGGTTAAAGAGGGAGAGAGAGACAGAGACACAAAGAAACAAAGGAAGGGGAGGGAAATTACCTCATTTGCTGATTTAAGTGTGTATGTATGAATGCATCACATTTATTGATTTTTGATTTTAATTCTTGTGGTATAGTAGTCTTATTAAGGAAGTTGGGGCCTAATCCCACATGATGAAGGTTCAGGCCTACTGTTTTCTTCTATTAGATGCAGGGTCTCTGGTTTTATTCCTAGGTCCTTGATCCATTTTGAGTTGAGTTTTGTGCATGGTGAGAGATAGAGGTTTAATTTCATTTTGTTGCATATAGATTTCCAGTTTTCCCAGCACCATTTGTTAAAGAGGCTATCTTTTCTCCAATGCCTGTTTTTGGCACCTTGTCTAATATAAGATAATTGTAATTTTGTGGGTTAGACTCTGTGTCTTCTATTCTATATCATTGGTTTACTAGCCTGTTTTGGTGCCAATACCAGGCTGTTTTTGTTACTATTGCCCTGTAGTATAGTTTAAGGTCTGGTATAGTGATGCCACCTGCTTCACTCTTCTTGCTAAGGATTGTTTTAGCTATTCTGGGTCTCTTATTATTACAGATGAATTTCACTGCCTTTTCTATTTCTATAAGGAATGCCATTGGGATTTTGATTGGCATTGCATTAAATCTGTATAGTGCTTTTGATCAAGGATCTAGGAATATAACCAGAGACCTTGCAGCTAATAGAAGAAAAAGTAGGCCATAATCTCCATCATGTCAGATTAGGCCCCAACTTCCTTAATAAGAACTGCTGTGGTGCAAAATTAAAATCAAGAATCAATAAATGGGATGGATTCAAACTAAAAAGTTTCTTCTCAGCAAAAGAAACAATCTGTTAGGTGAATAGAAAGACTACATCTTGGGAGCAAATCTTTACCCCTCTCACATCAGAGAGAGCACTAATCTCTAGGGTATATAAAGAACTCAA